TAGTTGGCTCCACAGAATGTTTAAAGATTGTTCCAGTATTTTCAATTTGCAGAGTGGGAGAAAGAATTTTAAATTATCATTGAGTCTACTTGTTTAAAGTTGATTAGCATACATTGTTGTGTTATTTTAAAAGTTAATTTTATAAGCATAAAATATATAACTTTTATAAAAAAAGAAGAAATTGGTAGAAGAATCAGAACCTGATTTATACAGATAAACAGATAAAATGGATTGACAAGGGCTGGGCATGGTGACTCACACCTGTAATCCCAGCACTTTGGGAGGCTGAGGCGGGTGGATCACCTGAAGTCAGGAGTTCGAGACCAGCCTGACCAACATGGTGAAACCTTGTCTGTACTAAAAATACAAAAATTAGCCTGGCATGGTGGCAGGCGCCTATAATCCTAGCTACTCAGGAGGCTGAGGCAGGAGAATCGCTTGAACTCAGAAGGTGGAGGTTGCAGTGAGCCAAGATCGCACCACTGCACTCTGGCCTGGGTGACAGAGTGAGACTGTCTCAAAAAAAAAAAAAAAAAAAAAAAAAAAAAAAAAAAAAAAAAAAAGGGTTGACAGGTTGGTGGGCATGGTAACACATGCTTGTAGTCACAGTTACTAGAGAGGCTATGGTGAGAGGGTTGCTCGAGTCCAGGAGTTTGAGTCCAGCCTGGGAAGTGTAGCAAGACCCCATCTAAAAAAGGAAAATAAATAAATAAATTGACAGATTAAAAAAAAAAAAAAGGAGGAATGCATGTAATGATGTGCTGAGGCTACTCCTTTGGACTGTGGGTCCATATGAAAAAAAAAAATGTTCTGGAACTGAGTAATGAATCACTATTGAGAAGTCCCTTATAGGGTTACATAAAAGTATTTCGATCCATCTTTACAGTGGCTGCAAAGAGATCTGGGGATAGTTCACTTACTTTGGTTTTTTTGTTTTGTTTTGTTTTGAGACAGAGCCTTGCTCTGTCATCTAGGCTGGAGTGCCATGGTGTGATTTAGGCTCACTGCAACCTCTGCTGCCTGGGTTCAAGCGATTCTCCTGCCTCAGCCTCCTGAGTAGCTGGAATTACAAATATGAGCCACCATGCCAGGCTAATTTCTGTATTTTTAGTAGAAATGGGGTTTCACTATATTGATCAGGCAGGTCTTGAACTCCTGACCTCAGGTGATCTGCCCACCTTGGCTTCCCAAAGTGCTGGGATTACAGGTGTGAGCTACTGTGTCCAGCCAGCTGCTTTGATTTGGTTGACTTCACTTCTTGAACAAATTTGAGGATGAAACAATCACAAATGTTTCTCATATTTTCTGAACAAAAAAGTAAGATGTTAGCACTTTTTTTTTTCAGTACTGTATCTACCATTATAGCATCTGTTGGGGAGTCTTAATTTCAAGCCTTGTAGAAAAAGCAGTATATTCTGATTTGAGAGTTTCTCCCACATGGTAAAAAATAAAATGTGAAACTTCAGTAACTGGCATGAAGAATTTTAGTAGTACTCAGGAAGTTTTCAGAAACTAGAGTTTTCATATAATATGGAAGTTTCAATGTTTTGAGGTTCAGTAAATTATGAGTATACACGAGTGAAGTCTAAATTACCCATTCAGAAGGGTAACCCTATAGCCCACATGTCTGGATTCATGTATGCAGATGGACAGATACACTTCATTTCTCCTGGGAAGTTGAGCTCTAAAAAGCTATCACTCAGAACAGACAGTTTTATGATTGCATGAAAAGAAAAGGAAAGACGACAAAGTTGCTATAAAAATGAAAGGCCTTTTGGAGTATTAACAGCTGAAAACATTAAGATTTCAATGAAGAAGCAAAAATCAGCTTAAAACTGCAAATTAAAAAAAAAAGAAAAGAAAAAAAAAATCTTTGCAGAGGGTTTGAAGCATATGGACACCCACCCAGTTAGCAATGAGGGCAATGGGAGCCCCAGACTTTAACTTATTAAAGATGACCTTTCCCCTCTCTAAAATTTCAAAGCTGACGTTTCAAGTGCTGAGCAGACTGTGTGCCATATGTAACATGACCTCAGCTCCACTCTGCCTGAGCACTGATGGCATCACTAATGAGAGGTGAAAGGTCCTTTTCTTGCAGCTTTTTCAGAAATCCACCAATTCTTGCCTGTGAAGTAAGGCTCCTCCCTCCTCTCTCTTGGTTTCAAGAGAACTGCATTTAATACACAGCCTCAAAACACTTTTATTATCGTCAATTTGCTTATAGCCATAGCCAAATGGCAGGATGTACAATCACATGCAGAAGAAAATATTTATTTTGACTCAGAAGGCAAAGGGATTAAGAGAACATTGTATTAACCTTGCCTTTCATCTATGTTTTAAAGGGAAAGTCACCCTAGGCATCCATTGAAGTTCTATTGTTTAATAAAGAGTATCAAAGAATTTTAGGACACCAGGTGTGTGTTTAACTGAGGGGAGGAAAGAAAGGGAAGAAGCTACATGAGACAGAAAAGGCAGTTTTCACAAAGCTGCTTCAGAGACTGCAAAAAGATGTATGTGCTGGAATCTGTTACAGGCATTCCTAACAGCCAGCCTCTTCTACCGTCCCCTCTACAACCTTTTTCTGCTGCTTGGAAACAAAATAGCTTTTTTTTTTTTTTTTTTTTTTTTTCCCAAGCAGGTTGTTATCATATTCATGGCATGGTCAATTTCCGTTTGCCAAGAAAATATTTAGGCTGATCAAAGAAATTAGAAAATCGGCTGAATAGAAACAGACGTTCCCACAAGAGAAGCGTCTCTCAACGTGAAGAGGCAGGCGGACTGCAGCCCACCCAGTTACTCCTAGGAAATAGTTCTCCTGCCAAAGGCGGAACTACAAGGCCACCTGGATTCTGCTGGAGGGGCTACAGAAGAGTCAAGACCTCCAAGGAAATTCAAATAGAGACTGGAGTTTAAGGCGCTCTGGCGGCAGACGTGCAGAGAGATGATCGGTTCTACTACCTATGTACAAGCCAGGAGGGCCTTTAACTACGGCCCCGAATCCAGAGCGACCTTTCAAGGCAGAAGATAAGTGAGTTCGGGATCCTTTTGTTTTGCTTTGCCTAGTTTACTACGCTCATGGAAAGGCAAGAACACATTATCCTGGGTAGGTGAAGTATGTACTTTTGGAATGGAGGGATAGCTGTTTCACCCGAATTAATACAAGTTCAGGCGTTTATTTATGTTGATGTGTGGATTGGGGTGGAGAATGGTTGATAGTTGTCTTTGGGACCTTATTGGTCTCTGTGTGTGCTCCCCGGCCAGCTGGTGACGGTAAATGAGAGGGTCCTCCATCTCTTCGCTGTTCCTGGGCAATGCTCGGCCAAACTAAGTCCACTTGCAGCGCTTCGACGCGAAAGGACTGGCTGAGGTCGCGGCTTCCCGCCGCAGGTTCCACGAAACCGAGAAGCCGACTCCGCTTAAGGAAAGAAGATCCCGATTTCCCCACTCGCCTTGGGCAAATTGGGGTACCTCATTCGCCAGCGAAGCGTCGCTGTCCTTATCCCAACGCCTCCAACTTTTGGAGGGAAAAGTGAGAGAGGGATGGCCCTGAAAGAAGGCGACTATGGGGACAGCTAAAGAAGCCAAAGAAAACTCCCTCCTAGCGAGTCCCGTCCGGGGCTACGTGGCGCTGGCGAGGCCAAGGTGGGCCGAGCGGTCCCCGGGCTTTGGGCCGAGAATCCGCTCTGCTACCCTAGCCCCTTCCCGCCGCGCGCTCTTCACCCCGGGGAGTCGGCCGGGCAGATTTTCCTTTCTGTTTGTTTTTTTCGTTTCGGTTCTTGCCGGCCTGGCGAGAACTCCTTTGCCAGGAAGACAGCGCCCTCTTTCTCCTCCGGCCGCGACGCCGCCGGCCTGCACCGGCTGTCTCTGCTTCACTGACCTCTCCGCGCCTCCTGGTGGTCCCCGCCCTCCAGGCCCCGGTCCCTCTTTCCTCACGCCCTGACGCGTATGGGCCCCATGCAACGCCCGAGAAAACAACCCAAGAGAACAGAGGGCAGGGGCCGAAGCCGGCTCGCGTCCCAGCCCTCAGGCCCGCCCGGCGAGATAGCGTGACCTTTGGCTACAAGCCTGGGCAGAGCCGGCCCCGGCGCAGACGCGGCGCCCGAGAGCTCGCGCGCAGCCCGGGGGAGGGAGCTTCTGGCGCAGGCGGCGGGGCGAGAGGTGAGGCCCAGCTCCTCTAGACCCCGCGCCGCGGCGAAGCCTCCCCGGCGCCCGCGCGCGGCTACTTGGCTGCGCGCGCGCACCTGGCACAGCGGCTTGTAACGAGGCCCAGGATCAGCCCGCGAAAGTGGACCCGGTCCTGCACGCGGGGTGATGGGTGAGGGTGGCGGGTGAACTTGAGTAGAGGTAAGGAAAGAGCTTACGACCTTCTTCCAAGTCCTAAAAGCGTCCCTCGCAGTTCCCCTGCTTGCTGGCAGCCTCACCCTGCTGGCTTCCAGGAGGGCTTTGCCAAGCACTGCATTGGTGTTGGAAACCTTGTCGCAAAGTCCGAGCCTAGGCGAGTGGTCGAGACGCACGGAGGGGCATGGGTGAATGGGCACCTTTCCAGCACCCGCTACCCAGTATCCCTTTCCCCCTGCTCAGAGGACTGGTGATTCAGACAAATGCCGCGCGGCCCGTTTGGGAACAGAGGCGGTGGAGCTTCTGTCCGCGAAAATCTGGATCCTTTTAGAGCCCAAACAATATGCTCGTGTGAGAATGCAAAAACAGATCCCACGGCGTGGATACGCACCGACAGAGGTACAGGCCTGAAGTGCGCCCACCCCCGAACTCCTACCCGTTCCTGGGAGCCTCAGGGGTAGTTCGCTTTCAGCTGACCCTACTGCACAACGCAGGCGGCTCCCAGAAATGCACTAATTGAGTCACAAACCACTGGTCGCCAGGAACAAAGCGATCCATCTCAGCAGCTCAGCGCCCAATTTGTCCGCAGCACTTTCTTCCGCAATTCAGAAGCATTATCTTGTTTTAAAAAGTACCACGGCAGAGACGTGGCAATTATCCGGAGCTCGGGTTACACTAAATGGCTTAGGCTGAGAAATGGAAGAATACAAAATGCCGCGAACGTGCAGATTGCCTCGCTGCCGAGCCTGGACCGGGGTTAGGGGAGGCGAACTAGAGCTTTTGGCAAGGGAGAAGGGAGGCAGGCGCAAGTTCCCACTCGTGGTCGTCTCCGAGTGACACCACCGAGAAAGGAGTGTTGGCCCTTTATCTCTAAAGGCTAAGGATTCCCAGAGACGAATCTCCAAAGGTCGGGGGATAAGAGGTCATATCCCAACCTGACCAGGCCAAGCTTCTGGTTTCAGGGTCTGGGTTTTGGGTCAGTAACAGGTTGGGAACTTCAGGCACTGCTGGGATGAGGAACAGGAGAAAGGTCAAGGGTTAGTGAATGAGATGGGGAGGGGGGCGGGACGGAGAATCCAGTCTCTCTTCACGACACCCACTCCGGAATTGGGGAAGAGGAAAGCACCGGGAGAAAACCACCCGAAGGAAAGAGAAGCTGGCTCTTTACAATGGGAGAAGGCGTTTAGTCCTGAACCAGGAGCAGGCCTGCGCCTGGGTGGACGCTGTAGGGTGGAACGCTCGATAAATGGCGAGAGTCCCAGAGACCACCAGGCCTTTCCACACCAGGAAAAAAAAAGTCTGCTCTAAGAATCTTCATCTCGGTCCACCAGGGTGAGTTTGGGCCTGGAAAATGGGGAGAAAGAAAAGCGAGTAACGAGGTTTTCGGGTGGCGGCGCCCTGCGTGCAGACGTCTGCTCTCTCCAGCCGCGCAGCCTGCTGTGGCAGCCACGCTGTGCGCAAGTGTCTTTATCCTTCAGCTCAAACCAGCCCCCACATCTTGAAGTAATCAGCAGCCGAGAAGAGACTCGTCCCCCTGGCATCTCAGGTTAAAGAAGGAGGTCCAGGAAAATGTGGTAGAGCCATTACAAGAAACCCGAGCCGCAGTCATCAGGGACTCCAATTGCCATCGCATTAGGATTGATTAGAGACCAGCAGTACCGTAATGACCCGGAAAGAGGGGCAGCCGGGGATTATTAATATCAGAACGGGGGGGGAGCAAAATGGGGAGGGAGAAGTTTCAAATTACTAGTATTTATATGTTAAGTCCAGGTTTACCTGAGGAAACCAGATAGTCAGTGAATCAAGCTAACGATAAATCTAATTGCATTTCAAATTTCACGAAGCCTGATTTTTTGGAGAGTGGAGTAAAACCATCATGAAAACCAAGCCAATATCTTAGTTTTTATAAACATGTAGTTTTATAAGTTTATTGTAAGAATCCAAGCGAAGAGATAGGGAGGGGCGCTAAATGTCTGCTTTCCTTATCATTGGACCTCCTTACAATTTGGACTTCAAATAGCTTGATATTTTTGCTCGCGGGAGTGCATTTTTGAATCGCTTTGGTTCTTCCCTCCAGGGATATGGGGCAATGGAGTGGACATTTTTTTTTTTTTTTTTTTCCAGAGCGTCCAAAGGAGGAACAAACCAAAATGTAAGTGAAGCAGTAATCCCTCGGTAGTGGTTTTTGTTTTTTGTTTTGTTGAAGACGTGAATGATCAGGATCCCAAGGAGATGTGTAGAAGAGAGGTGGTTTGTCTCCTTCCTCCAACTATGAGCCAAAACAAATCAGCCCCTGATGGTCCGGGCTGAAATGTAGCTCACTGGATAATTAACTCCATCTTTCCAGTCCACCCTAACTGTTTATTTAGTGTCACCCTGCATTACCGTCACTAGCACTTTCCTCTGAACAGGAGGAGCTGCAGGCTTTCACCTCCCAAAAGGAAATTCTTTTTAGCTTAGACAGATGTGGTATTCAGGATGTACATTAGTTGAGAAAAAAAAAGTTGATTGAAAATTCAATGGAAGATAAGCGGTTTTGGAGAATTTCATTTTATAAACCTACCCTAAGGAGATATTTTTAAAAACAGGGAATGCGGCTCAGAGTCCCTTAAATTCTTAAGAATTGATTATTCTGACACCCCGGCTCCAATTTCCAGAAAGGTAGTTGGCATATGATGTTGAGTAGGGTCTTTTAGCTCAAATCTGGCGATTGGTCAGAGCTTTCTCAGAATGCAGCTGGTCAGCCCTTTTCTCAGGTGGCCAATACACCTTTGCCGGCCCTCCCTGAGGGCCACGCCATCTATTGCTCGCCCTCCACACCCTGTAAAAGGTCCTCGCCCTGCCGACTACAGCACCCAGACTTGAGGGTCTACTCTCAAGACAACCTACCAGCGCTGCCTCAGTGGGTGACATCAGCACACTCTGTGGAACCTCACAGTGCCCAGTCCTGGAAAGAAAGAAATGAGTGCCACGGGGGCGGTGGGGGGGGGGGCGGAGAAGGGAAAGGGAGGGAAGAAAGAAGAAAGAGGAAGAGGAAGAGGAAAAACAATGAGGAGAAAGAGGAAGAGAGGCAGAGAGAATGAAAGAATGAGAAACGGGTTCACATACAGACAGAATGAGCGAGGGTTCTCTTTCAGATGGAGAAAAAGAGTTAGAGACACACTCCAGGAGAGACCCACTGCGGGGCACACGTAGAGCGAGAGAGAGGATAACTCCGCCAAAGACAGTTCTGTTCCCCTCCAATTTGAGCTCCCTCCCAGCGCTTGACACTCGGTCTGTCTGTCAGTCGGTCTGTGTATCTATCTTTCTCCCTTCCCGGACCTCGAGACAATACGGAGATGGTATTTTCAGGAGCCGCGCGGGGCGGCAGGGTTTTCAGCAGCGAGCCTGGCTTGCAGCTGGCTCTGTTTGTCCAGGTGTGGGCGGTGGTGCGGGGTGGGACGGAAGGGGCGGGCCCGCGGTCGCCCAGAACCTTGGGCCAGCGTAGCGTTTTCGCACCAAGGAAGTGAGAGGCTCTGATCTCGAGCTTCCCGCTTCCAGGAAAAAACGTCCTCCCTCCCTCCATACATAAATGCACTTGGGGAACAGACAAATCCTCATTGTTCAGAAATAAGCTGAGGAGGCCCGCCTGCTCCCCTCAGCTAGGCAGAGAGAGGCAGGGAGGGAGGCGGTGGGCGGGGGGGGGGGGGCGCGGATCCGGTGTCACGTTGCAGATTCCCACTAAGATAACGAAACGTGATCTATTTTTCAGAACAGCAAGTGGATGGGAAAGAACTTGACAACACAAAACTCATTTACTAATGGACTGGTTTTGGGTTTCTCTTCTCTGAGTCCACAAATCTCTCTGCCTGAGCCCCAGGCCTATTCAGACCTCGCGGGGAGCGGCGTCCCCCAGGAGCAGGTGGGCTGCTGCTCCGGCGCCACGCCGGTCTTCGGAGCCGGAGTTCCCAAGGGTCGAGAATTTTGGCACTTCAGCCCGGACTTAGGGAGTCTCCGCACTGCCCCAGAGCAGTGACACTAATTTATTGAAGAAACACTTCTCTATGCGCTCCCCTTCCAAATATTTGTAGGTAGAATAAGATCCTTACCGTCGTTTTGGATGGTGAAAGAATTCCAAGAAAGCGGCCAGCGAGTCCCAAAGTATCTTACTCCAAGCCAGAAGGTAAACAACAGGGTTCCAGCTAGGGGTGTTTGCTTCAAGGCCTCTGTCAACCCAGCCTAGAAACCCTAGCAACTGCTAATGCTATCCCATTGAATGCTTTTTCATCGGCTAATTATGCGCACCCGGTCATTACCTGCGCAGAGGAGGCACTGAAGAGCCAAAACCCAGTCTCGGGCGCTCCTTGCCAGCGGTGTTCCTCCCGAGCCGCGCGAGGGTAGCAGCCGGCTGACTAGAGTTGCTTGTTTCCTTTAAATTTCCAACGCATCTCTGCTTTTCGTGCGACTTGCATTGACACCAAAGGTTTTATGTTAGCAGAACAACTCAAACCTTTCTGTGTGCGATTTAAAATGGATCATTTGATTTAGGTGGTTTGTGAATTCATATCATTTTACCTCTTTTAGTGGTTTTCAGTGGGAGGTTCCATTTTGGGAAACCTTATATATCCGAGCCAATAATTAACATTTATAACAATTGATTCCCCAACCAAGGAATCGAAATAGCAGGTAGGCTCCTTGGTATAAAGTGCATAGCACTTTCCCTTTCCAGTTACGTGATCTATTGGATTAAGCGGAAGGAAAAAACGTCGGCGGGCCCAGTCACGGCCTCCGAGGAAGAGCACCTCTTCTCTTCTACCCGGATTCCCGCAATCACAGCTTCTACACGTGGTCTTCCCAGTTGAAGTCGATGTCTAGTACGTCCTGGTTCCTTTTGAAGACAGATACAAAGAAGTGGGTAGGGAGGTCTGGAGGAAGTGGGGGGAAGGTGGTCCTATTCGTGTCTAATTGCCATCTCTCTGCTGTCTGTCATCCTCTGTAAATTTATACCTGCCCTTATTTGTCCAGGCTATGCCTCATTTCCTTATACAAAATTGTTAATTACAAAGTACACCCCATACTCAACATACTGTTTGTCTTTTAAGAGACGTGATTGTGCTTAAAGACCCTCCTTCCATTGTAATTGTGTGCACTTGCTCCAGTCTTTAGGGTATTAACTGTATTAACTGATTTTTAGAGACAGGTTTAAGCCTCCGTTCCGGTCCTCACACAGCTGCCATGTCAATAAGGGCTGTTCCAAGCAGAGACATTCCTTCTGGGAGGACACTGCAGCTCCTTAAGACCTCATGTGAAACATCATAAGCACTAAAATAAGACAGTGAGGGAAAATTACCAGACACATGGCTCTGGGCTTAGCATTGCCAGGCTTCCAGTTTAGAAAGTCACTGGGCAAACTATATGGCAGAGGCTCTTTTGAAAGAATGCACACCCACTAAATGCATTTTAAAAAAAAAAGCCTAAGGTAATGAAATATCAGCATCTGTTTCCAACATCTAATTGCATGGAATACGCCAGAGTTTCAAGGATGCAGAAAGCATTATGTTCAGTAGAGAAGCAGCTTTCTGTGTACTTGGAATCTCCCTTGTGGCAGCCCTGAGGTGGGAACCCTTTATGAGTTTAGAATATATGTTGCAGGGTGCACTGGACTAGGTGCATCACTTTAAAACCATATTAATAATAAGAGGGGAAACTCAGACACTGCTTCTCCTTCTCCCATTTGCTTCTGAATATGCAAAAGGTTTTGCAGTGCTGAGCTCTTTGGCTGAAGGAATCAAAACATATTTAAAGAACACAAGCTAGTTTAAGGAGCCTACAGTTTGTTCTTCACCACTCTCTAAGAGGGCGCATTGAAATCAAAAGCATTTTTGAAGTGTACTTAGAATTCTGTTTTGAACTTATCTAATTAGAGATAAGCATAGTCATAAAGTCACTCTCCTTCCACCATTTGGCTTCCCTTATCTCCATGCATTGTTCTTATCTCCCGCTAGTCTCAGCTACTGACAATAGATTATCTTTGTTTAGAGAGGCTAATTGTTTTTAAAATCTTTTAAATAATTGCTTTGGAACTAGGTGTGCAAATGAGGCTTAAGATAATTACAACTTCATTTGTTTGTGCAGTTTTACTAAGTATTCTCCACACATAAACAAAACAGCAGATGATGGGACTTAAATTGCAGTACATCTCTCACTCCTTGGCAGCAAAATAGGCCAGCATCGCAAAACACACACACACACGCGCACGCGCGCGCGCGCGCACACACACACACACACACACACCTCTTTATTTAATCTTCTTGGAGCTGCTGTCGTCCTCGCTTTGAGGGCAGTGTTCCTCTCAGAGCAGGGCAAGGATTATGTTACAACCGGACGGTTATTGGAGCCTGGCACAGTTTTATTTAATTTACACCACATCCAGCGCCTTTCGTACGAGGTTCCCAAAGCATTTTTGCTAATAGCAAGTAAAGCTTCTCAGCATTCCTCAGTAGCAAAGGTGGCACTGGAAATCGCCACCACACAGATGGGGAAATTGAGTCCAGAAAAGCTTCAGGAACCTGCTGGTTTCCACTGCAGAACATTAAGATAACAAATTACAAATGAACGCTCGGAGACTCTATGTGCTCAGCAAGAATGCTCTAAACAGCTCTTCGCCTGGTCTCAAATCATGGAGGCCCTTTGTGAACGAGGGAAACGCTGTCCAACTGGGAGTACTTGTGCCCTTTGGAGGGTGGTGTGGGGCAATTGGGGGAAGGAAGGGGAAATTGGGTTCGGCTCCTTGAGCCGAAGCCAACCCGAAAAGAAGCCACGCTTCCAGAGGCTGCAAGCAGGGACCCTGCTCTTGAATTATTTATCGCGTTCCATAGCTATTCATCAATCCATTATTTATTCATTCCAACATTAAAGTAATTAAATATGAGCTCACCGGGAAAGGGCAAGTCTACAAGGGATGAGGACAAGAGTACGGAGGGAGAGGGGAGAAACGAAGGTTTGAAGTCATTGATTTGTGCGGAGTTGTGCGCGACTCCGGGTAGGTAATGCTGATAACGGGTCCCGCCTTGCAGGGTCCTGACGCGCTCACCCACTCCCTACCTACCCCGACTTCCGCAGCGCAGCTCAGACCCCAACTGGCTTCCCACCTTTCCTCTTCCTTCTCCTCCCACCACTCCCTACCCCGGCAGCCCTCGCAACACCCCTCCCCACCACCACCCCCACCCCCACCCCCACCCCCACCCCCACCCCCACCGCCACCACCACCACCACCACCAGCACCACCACCAGCACCACAGCTCCTAGCTCCTCAGCCTCGCCCTCCCCGAGCTGGGCGGTGCAGCCTCGCTGCTCGGCCGGGCGGCGCGCTGGCTGGCCAGCCCCGGATAGGCGCCTCCTGCAGCCAATCAGCTTGCCGGGGACGCTGCGCGCTTTAAGGCAGCTGCCTGGAGAACAGAAACCAAGTTCCCCGGCAACTAGCAGCATCCACCGGGCGGGAGGTCCGAGGCAGCAAGGCCCTAAAGACTACTGAGTGCGCCGGCGGCTCCTTGTTCAGCGCGTCCCCTACTCTTCTGCCTCCTCTTCCTTGGCCGTCCACTTCCAAATTCCGACTCAGATTTTCGCCTTTGCAAAGCCTAAGGAGGAGGTTAGGAACAATCGTGCCCCCATACCCTGCGGCCGAAGCCCCCTGCTTCTCGGCTCTGCTCCCTGCCGCGTGCGCCTGGGCCGTGCGCCCCGGCAGGCCCCAGCCATGTCGATGCTGCCGTCGTTTGGTTTTACTCAGGAGCAAGTGGCATGCGTGTGCGAGGTTCTGCAGCAAGGCGGAAACCTGGAGCGCCTGGGCAGGTTCCTGTGGTCACTGCCCGCCTGTGACCACCTGCACAAGAACGAGAGCGTGCTCAAGGCCAAGGCGGTGGTCGCCTTCCACCGCGGCAACTTCCGTGAGCTCTACAAGATCCTGGAGAGCCACCAGTTCTCGCCTCACAACCACCCCAAACTGCAGCAACTGTGGCTGAAGGCGCATTACGTGGAGGCCGAGAAGCTGCGCGGCCGACCCCTGGGCGCCGTGGGCAAGTATCGGGTACGCCGAAAATTCCCACTGCCGCGCACCATTTGGGACGGCGAGGAGACCAGCTATTGCTTCAAGGAGAAGTCGCGGGGCGTGCTGCGGGAGTGGTACGCGCACAATCCCTACCCCTCGCCGCGTGAGAAGCGGGAGTTGGCCGAGGCCACCGGCCTCACCACCACGCAGGTCAGCAACTGGTTTAAGAACCGGAGGCAAAGAGACCGGGCAGCGGAGGCCAAGGAAAGGTACGCGGCGTGCTTCCTGCGACTCGGGTGACCCTAGGAAACCTTCCTTTCCCCTCCACCCCCTCCCGCCCCCGCAGGCACCCGCCACCAAGTCCTCCCCGCTGGCCCGAGCCTGTCCACCGGGCGGCGCGCAGGCTTCCGCCGCGCTGCTGCGAAAGTTCATGAACTCTGAGGTTCCTTGCGAAGGATGGGGCCTCATTTGCTTTGAGCACCCGCGAGTGGGTTTCTCTGGGATGTGAGTGTCGGGAAATATTGGCGCTAGGTTTGTTTTCCATGCCTCCCTGGCTGGCTGCGGCGGGGAGTGGTGGGTGGAGAGTTTCTAAATCAATGGGCAGGGAAGCGTTGATTGGTGTCGCAAGGAAAGAGGTTCGGTGGGAGCTAAGGTTCGCGAACCTCTCTCCTCTTCCTCCCCAGAGGGGCGAAGCTGGCCTGAGACATCGGCCCTGCCCTCACTCCCGCCCGGTTTTACACGGCTCTCTCTTGATAGTCTTTTGAATCAGAGGTCGCCTGCTTCATTTCTCACTAGCTGGACAAAGGGAGGAGTCCTTTAAAAATACATTGAAAAGAGAGCTTTGGGGAGAGTTGGCGCTGCATTTACTTCCCGGAGCCCCAAATTCAGAAAGGGTCGATCCTCGCCGTGTTCGCTCTCGCTCATGGCGGGGCGCAGCAGCCGGTCGGTCTGGCTGTCCGCGCCGCCTGCCCAGACAAGGAAGGGGTCTCCAGTCGCAGCCTTCTCTCACGCTGGAGCTCAGAAGGCAATATTTTAAAAATTGGTCTCTAACTTCCCCCACCTCGGGGCAACACCTTCGTCACCTGGCCAGGCTCCTTCTGTTCTCTGCAGAGCTTCCGATAGACATTCAGAAGAACGGTGGGGAGGTGGCTGTGGCGGGGAGAGCGCTCCTCGAAGCCAAAGAGTTTGGGGGAAACCTGAGCGCAGGGGCCGGCTAGCTTCCTTTGTTTGCTTCCAAGCCTGGGGGCCGCAGGTCTTGCTTCCTTTCCTCTCTGGGTGGAAAACCACAGAGCCAGAGTAAATTCAGCTGAAATGGGCTGGCCAGGAGACAGAGACTGTGAGGATAAGGGAAAAGAAAGGAGGAGACAGACAGTCGCTAGGAGTCGGGAATACCGGGCGAGCACTCGGAAGGCGAAAGCTGCAAGAGCAGCGAAATTCTGTTAACCAGGACCGAGTGCCGGGACCTCGCCCGCTGGCAGCCCGTGCCGGGCGGCGAAGTTTCCCCTGCCCGGAAAAGATGGGTTGCTTTGGATGTTGGTAAAAAGTTTGAGAGGGGGCCACGAGGGGCTGAAGAGTTAGCAAGTAACACAGAAACAGAAATTATATAGTTGCGGTTAGCCTTTAGCCCTAGGGCCGACTCCCGATGAAATCAGAGAGACTGGCTGCGCTCCTTCTGTTTATTCGGTCACTGGGCCGCTCTGGGCACCACTTCCC